GATTAGTAGACCACGAGCCAGGAAAACACTTCGGAGAAGGCAGTGGCACAAACAGTGCATCCATTAGGCTAAGAAGAGTACCACTGGTGGCTTGGTAGTGCATATTGCCTGTGCATCGCTGGAATACAGAGGTATTTGACGTCGTACAACCTTGGTTTTGCGATACTCAATCAAACTGTTCAGCACTCTGGTGGCTGCTGAAACACTGTCGGTAGATGTACCCCTCAAATGATAGGTTGGAGCCTTGTAGACTGTACGGTATGCTGTCATACCCTGCACACTTACATTAATATCACATGTAATTCTGCTTCTTGTTGCAACTTAGTGAGATGGGACTTGATGGTTCCCGAGTGTTGCACAGTTCCTGCGAGCAAGTACGCCGAGCCAAGATCATTGCTGTCCCTGATATGGTAGTTGTCAGGGCACTGGTCAGTGCCCTTGTGAAAACAGCAGTACAGTGGTAGAATCCATGCAAATTGGCAACTGCACTTTTCTGGGATGACAGTGTGTCAGAAGTTTAATAGTGCCGGAGATAGATCACGGTAGCACAAAAGTTGTCCATATCGATATGTCGGCACGGGATGTTCGATTAACAATGTCCTAAGTCAACATGATCCACGGTGATAATGCGGCAGACCCTATATATTAGCATCATGTAACAATGCAGAAACAAATGGAGAAGTGGCCAGATAGGAGATATCACTTCCCAGATCCCTGGCTCCTTTCTACAAATTGCTCGCCGTGACCTGTGATGTAGGAACGCCACTTATATGAAACTCAGAGCATTGCGGAAGTGGTTCTGCGATCAAATATGCCCCGCGGCACAATTGCTTCCAGTCTCTTCGACTAGACCCTATCACAACATTTGTGGACAGGTGGCAGATTGGTCATCTCTATAGCGAGTATGTAGGGGTATATGGTATAGTGACTAAACTAGCATCCTACCGTGGCATTCAGCTCTGCGAACCTATCCATATTGTTACAATCCCAGTGTGAATGAATACGTCTGATACTGGATCCAGTTACTGGTATGTCTGTCATATGAGCATGTCAAGTTGGACTGAGCATATGTCATGCAGGACTCTCTACTGCGAAATATTTTTTGTGACACCACTCGATGGAACGGTAGTAGCTAGCAGACTCTCGGACACTAATTATCGACATTTGAATTTCCTCATGGCTGCAGACATGCTGTTGTTGGCCGAGGTCTCTGGAGGGGTGTTCAGATCCAGCCTATATAAGTACGCTTCATCTCGCAACAATTCCATTCAACCGCCTATTCAAAACTCAGAGGACACTATCATTGAACATCGCCAGTGGAATATCCATCATAAGAATCTTTACAATTCTCAGTTTCCCGCTTCTTTCTGCTGCTGTCCTCGCAGGACCAGTGGCAGTCTCGTCCAATCCCTTGGAAGTCAATCCCCTGCCCTTTCCACATCCAGTTGCTCTTTACTTCCAACTCATGGGAGCGCCGACTTGTTCGGTACGCTATCTCCAGCCAGACTACATAAGTACGGACGGACTAATGTAGGTCTACCAGTTCGGATGCATCAATCGCGCCATAGGAGCAACTCCCGACTGTACCGGAGGCGTGGTGGACATTGGATGCTTTTGCGGATCCTCTGATTTCATGACCGGAGCTTGCTCATGCGCTGCCGATGATGCCTGCAGTGCGGAGGATTGTACCAGACTCACATCAGCTTTTCAACTAGGGTGCGGTTTGGCCCGTTCTCCCATTGGAGGTGGTGGAGCTAGTATTTAAAGTCGGTGAAACGTGGGGTGTCTAAGATGCTTCAAGTCTTAGTTCTACACTTCGCCCGCAGCAATGACTCTTTTGGCACCGGTGTTCGAGTCCTATAACTGCAGATAAATAGACGTCGAGTCCTTCTTTTCAAGGACAGCGGGTTGCTGTATTGGTGAAACCTTGTCCATTCCGGTATTGAAGTAACAGCAATTATATATGAGATACAGATTCACTGGCATTTCAAGTCATTATTTATAGTTGCAGATGCGATCATCGTTTCCCTTCATTGTGGCCGTAGATTGTTGCGGAATGCTTCACAATCTATCAAATGTCAGCATGATTCCTTAAAAAGCTTGCAAAGAACCAACATACCTTTTTCATCATGAAAGACGATTGCCAGCTGTCTGATGTGGCGACCTGAACTCGACATTGACATGGTTGAGTGGCGTGAATCGTTCGACATCATGCTGCCAATGCTTCCCATCGAGTTCCGTCTCGTTATGGCCTCTCCCTGCAGTTGAAGCCTGGTTGATAGCTTCGAGTACTTGAGCTCAACGAATCCGTCCACTGCGGTATTCAGTAAGTATATTGCAGGTCCGATCAGAACTTAAAAGGAATAGTACCTACAAGGCCATTCCAAAAAGCCCATCTTTGCATTGGAGCCGTGCTTGAGTTTCCCAAAATAGAGTAAACTCCGTGCTGATGTGAGCGGATCCTGGAGGACACGGATGGTCTCCAGCGAACAATGTTCCTCTACACCGTCGGCGTTGATATATTTGACATCTCCGCAGTAGAGGATGTTTCGTCCTAGGAGTATGCTCTGGAAAGTGACAAAGTCTGGACCCCCGATTAGAAGCTGTAGTTCTGAATAAGATAGTATGACTCACCAGCCTGCTTCCGGCAGATATATACTGGCGAGATGGCATATCGTTCGATAGCGCCATTTGACTCGATCTTAACACGGTGAGAGCCCTGAAAGCATATCCTGAACGGACTGCTCGGATCGTTGACAACATGCGCACTTTCGATATATGGAATCATGGAGCTCTGGGCTCCTCGAAATGCTGCTTCATGGATTCGATGAGTTATTTTTACCGTGCCAGTCACATCCGTTGCCTCGATGAAGCCGACATCGCGAGAACGGTGATGCAGGTAGACGCTTATTGTGCATTTAAGCGGTTTGTGCAATTCGTGGTTTTTGAGATTCGGATCGGGAAAATGTCTGTGTCAATATAAGCAAGGCACAAATAAATCTATATCTCCTGATCAGAAACATACATCGTTACAGGACATTGCGTCTCTACTCTGGTACACCGGTAGCGAGTACTGATCGGCTCAGTCAGTGGAGGCGTGGGCGGCGGTTCCCCCGGAGGGTCATTATCGGACGGCGAGTGTTCCCTTGTAGCTGGGGTGATAGCTCGTTCTTGGTGCAGGAGCTGAAATTTGACCCAGTCGCTGAATTTCTCCCACTCATCAATCTCCTTGTTCAAGATTCGCGCGGGCTCCTTGGGTTTGGTTGGTGCGTTCAACGCCAGTTGACCAGGAACGGTGACATGCTTGAACCCAGCCTGATTCAAGGCGCCACGAATATCCGTTCGAATCTGGTCTAGAAAGCCGACGACGGGCATGTCACGGCGCATTATAAGGTGCTCTAGCTTCTGGGAGACATCTTGGATGCGAAGAAGGGGTTTTGACTCCCGCTCGTCGGATCTTGACCCGTGGAATTCGAGCAAGGGACGCTGCTGTTCTGTGTCTCGTAACCGTGGCAAAGCTCGCTGACCAAGTTCGGATAAGAGTCGACTTTCCAGAGTGTTGTCTCCATTGTTAGAACTATGTCCCGGCATGCATTGACGAAGGATGAACGATATCTGTAGACTCATGATTCTGCAAGGTCAGTCAGTAACAGTTCGGGAATTAAGACGGAATGGTCTGCAGTATACTTGATTGCACGCAGGATTTCCAAATTCTCCTGCCTGTTTTCCTGTCTATTCTGTTTCTGCATATCAATCACGGTATTGGTTGCCATCAAGTTCGCTAGCTGGACATTCCGCTCAAGCGCACGGCGCAGTCGTTCGGCCTCTTTGCGCTCTATCGGCCACGAAACTTGGTGGAAAAGCGTCTTGACCCTGTCCGAGACTTTGTGCCATTGTAAAGGTTCTTTCGATCCTCCTGAATGTATATTGTTCGCTAGCCGTTGGTGCTTCTTGACGAATTCGGTGCATTCGATGATCGTCTGCTGATATGACCGACCGAGGGCAACCCTCTTGGAGACAGGGACATCTTTTTCTGCCTCTTGTAGCTCTTCAATGGTCGCTCTCATCAACTCGAACTCTGCTTTGAACTGTGCGAAATCGACCTTTGCATTTTGAGTCCCGTCAGCGATACACTTGTAGACATCCCAGGCGATCTTGGCGGCTTGTAACACATCTCCGACGCTCCAGCCGAAGCTCATCCCGTATAACGTCAATAGTTAAACAATAGCTCTGAATTTCACAAGGTAGTAATACCGAAGAGGATCAGGATGCATCCATGGATCAGCAAAAGTGGAACTCGAAGAAGGAGCATGGGCCATGGGGGGAGAAACGACATGCGAACTGTCCCCACCCTTTGTGATAGCCTGGCCCGGGCACTGACAAGCTAGCGGCTCAAAATACGCCTGCCTCCCACGCGCGGAGGAAGAATACATGTCCCGTCAGCAGCATGTCAATGGACGCTTTGTGGCAGTGAAGGGCATTCATCATATACATGGTCATCCACCACACGTGGTGGCGCCAAGGGGACTAGGCTACGGAGTAGCACCGATGGCTTCGTACCCCCGGTCCAATAGCCGCCGTCGTCTACACAACGTGCATCAATCCAACTGCGTCTTTGGCGAGGAACTTCGGAAACTTCGATTCAGTCGTTAATATGTAGCCTATCGTCTCGAGTTGCAGTCTGACAGATGTCTCGGGTATGTGCAGGGCTGCCGGCCTCGTGGTCCACAGGACATGTTCAAGTCGATCGACTCCGCCCCTGAATTTTGATATGGGAGATTGTGTGGCTGTTGCCCGTCGTTCGTATTTTTGCCTGGGCGAACTCCTTCCAGAAGTAATGAGGCTCCCTGAGTCTTGAGAAGGGTCGTCAGCCTCGTGATCGATAATGATTTAGGGGCGGGGAATGGCTGCCAGTAGGCAGCGGGAGAAGACATCGCGTCTTTGCAACTTCCTGCTAGGATCTGATAAAGATCGTACATCGAATCAATACATCAAGAGATATGCGATATCCTCGCTTAGCCGCTCTGGGACTGCGAATCTACCCATGGAAGGAATATCAGGACTTCCGGCACCATACAGTGAGGATCCATGGATGCAAAAGCTTAGCCGTACATGAGTTGCTAACCGTAAGAACAGCCCGCTCAAAGACATGCCTACATCATCGGTAGACTCGAAAGCGCTCGACGACGGGAGTGGATGTGGATCGTCGCCGTCGCAGGTATCGGTTTTTTCACCGATGCATATGGTGTACGTGACGGCACCCATCGGACAGGATTCATCAACTGACTTTGCAGATCTTCTCTGTCAACATGGTTCTACCCATGATGAATATTGTCTATTGGAATCATTCGAACTGGATCGAGCCGAATGCAGTCCGGCATGACTATGAGGTGGCTCTCAGTATAGTCACTTTAGGCGGTGTTATGCTTGGCCAGATCGCCTTTGGCGTCGCTGCAGATGTCTGGGGACGAAGCAAGATGTACGGCATGGAGTTGGTTATTTTGATCTTCGCCACCCTGGGACTGGCATTATCTTCCTCAGGGGCTGAAAACTCCATGTCCGCTATCGCCCTTTTCTTATTTTGGCGTGGCCTGCTCGGGATTGGTTTGGGTGGGGATTATCCTCTGTCGGCAGTTATTTGTTCAGAGTAAGAGCCTATTCGGCATCCCGTAACCGCAGCTGACAATCTCAGGTTTGCGCCGAGCCGACTACGAGGGCGACTACTTGCAACAGTCTTCTTTTGCCAGTCTCTCGGACAGCTCGCCGCGCAATTGGTTGCTCTCATCGCGGTGGCGGGCTTCCAACACCATCTCCCCACCAACCCTGATACCACCACATGTACAGGGAACTGTATTCGAAGCCTTGACACCATTTGGCGGCTGCTTGTCGGATTAGGAGCAGTGCCTGCCTTTATCGCATTGTGGTTCCGGCTGACGATTATCGAGTCCCCTCGCTATACAGCAGAAGTAACCAAAGACAGTCTGCAGGCCGTCAATGACGTCTCTCAATTCTATCAACGTGTTAGTATTGACAATGCATCAGTGAACAGTGTAGAACCTCCCTCTCCGGAATCAGGTTCATTCCGACTATCGCCGACCCAATCAGCCGAGCAACAGCCAGATCGGCCTGCTTCTGCTGCCCCGTTTGCGGAACAAGATGCCACCTCCCCATTGGCAATCTGGAAAGACTTCAAACTCTTCCTCAGGCAGAAGGACAACTTCAGAAAACTGGCTGCCACATCCCTCTGCTGGTTCTGTCTCGACCTCCCCTTCTATGGGCTAGGGCTCATCAGTCCGCGGATTACGCGAACCATCTGGTTCGGAAGCAAGCTGCCCCGGACTAGTTTGTATCAGCTACTCTTTCAAACAGCATATCAGAGTATTGTTGTTGTCTCCTCTGGCGCTATCGTTGGTAGCCTGTTATCAATCCTGACGATCGACAAATTGGGTCGGCGCAATATCCAACTGAACGGATTTTTCTGGCTATTCTTGCTCAATGTGGTTATCGGCGCTTCGTTCCAGCATCTGGTGAAACATGATGATCCGTCAGCGTTGGTGGTGTTGTATATTCTCTGCCAGATATTTTTCAACTTTGGTGAGTATATCCTTACGCCATGTGCCTGACGTTGCTAACCCGCTTCCTAGGACCCAACACAACAACATATATGGTAAGTCTCCCTATTCTCGATTCAGGAATATAGCTGACCACCAGCTCCCTGCTGAACTCTTTCCGACTCGGTTCCGGTGCACCTGCCACGGTATTGCGGCCGCCTTTGGCAAACTCGGCTCGGTCCTTGCGCAGTGTTTCCTGGCATATGTGGATTTCGGCAACGGAGCAGACTATACCAACGTACCGGATTGGTTGGGATATGCACTTCTTTGGTAGGCTCTCATTCAGAGAAGCGTGTGATAACTTCAAACTAACAAGTGGCTAGCCTATCTTTCTTCATGCTCATGGGTCTAATCATCACATATTTCTTCATTCCTGACGTCCGAGACAAGGATGGACGCATCAAGTCGTTGGAGGAACTTACAGATGGGATGATGCCAGATGCGGAGTTTTCCCAGGCTGTGGTGAATGGATATCCTGCACGAGGGGCAAGCCCTCAGATGACCCAGGTTGATGGGGATAGTATCAGGGTATAATGTTGGATAGTTGCGGTGTTATTGTGCGACAGTGATAGGCCCGGTCGCAATGGAGCATATGTTTCCGTTTTCACCAGTTGCTATCAATTAGGAGCATATGCTGTCTGCGCAGTAGTAGAAGGTAAATTCCAGGCCAAGATTGTGTTCTCCTTGCGGTCAAATGAAAGGTAGGATCGGCGAGGTGACAGTTAACAATTATCATCCCATACCATCCGTCAGAGGGACTAGGACGCTTAAAATAGTAATAGATAGATCGCATTGGAAATAAATGTTTGGGGGTCCCAATTGCCAATCTAAGTGGAGCCAATGCGATGCCTCTGACCCACCAGATCAGCAACTATAATAGGCCCTCGTATTCGTAATGTTCACCTTCTTGGGTTTGTTGGCCCATACCATCGGTGGGTAGACTGAAAATCGCAGTTGAGTGCTGCGAGTTTCAGCCATAGGGGCTGCTGTTGGGGACTTCCGGTACCGTATACACATTAATAAGGATCAGTCTATGATCCTGCGATGTACAGCAGGAGACCAAGCATTATATTGCCCAAGCGCTGTCGGATTACTGAGAAAGCAACATCCTTCTGTATATTTACCCTCTATAAGCTGATGTTGGCCCAACTACTGCTGGAAGTCTGATATCTTCTTCCCTTCTAATTTATCCTTTTGCGCTTTCCAATTGGACTGATGAGAGTGGAATCTCTGGGGACCCACCTTCTTGAGGCACGGAGGCAAGAGCCTTTCGGATCCACAACCGCCCTTGCAAGTATGAAATATTGATAGCCTCTGCGGCAATCTGCGGAAGTCCATAGTTGCGTTAGCCCAATTGAGGTGCAAGGCTGAGATCCACTGCTCGTAGTTCGTATCAAAGACCGATTCGGGTTACCTATCTACCTACGCTCTATGACAAAGTGATGTTTCACGTGGCGCTAAAGAGGTTCAAACCGGCAAATTGTACGAAGTAGCTTGATGCATTTTGTTTATTACGACATTCAGCCCAGATGAGCCAGTGCCAAGGTTCCAGGCATCTACAATCAATGAGATATACGTAGTATCTGGAGTGGAGCAGCAGAAGTGGTAACCGACTGTTGCTGATTTATATTTGTCTGCATTGTCCACCATTTCTCTCTTTGACGGTCAAATTCAAATTTTCAAGATAGCAGTAAGCTGTTTGCCCCATTATTTGAGTGCAAACTCCTCCTGATCCGTGTTCTAACTACAGCAGCCACGTTGACATTTTCGTTTGCATACCCGGATCATGGCATTCAAGCTTTACCACTACGACCCTTCCGCAGGAGCGGCTGTTGCGTTTGCCGCAGTTTTCGGCTTAACCACAGTTGTCCATATTTGGCAGATGGCAAAGGCAAGGGCTTGGTTCATGACTGCTTTCATTATCGGTGGCTTTTGTGTGTAATATTCCCTTCATGCGTGGTTTGGATTGAGGGACTAGCCACGAAGCTAGTGGCCGCTATAACTTGCACGGGCTGACGCCATTGTTGATTATAGTCGAGGCTATTGGCTATCTCTGCAGATACATCAGCGCAAAGCAGACCCCAAACTGGACGACAAAGCCGTATATAGGGCAGAGTTTGCTCCTTCTCCTTGCTCCAGCGCTGTTCGCCGCGTCCGTGTACATGATACTGGGCCGGATTATCCGGCTACTGAACGCGGGTTCCCTCTCGCTGGTCCGTCCAAATTGGCTGACTAAGGTCTTTGTGACGGGTGATGTTATTTCCTTTTTGATGCAGTGCGGAGGTATGCGGTCCTTTCAAATGTTTACGAAACATGAACCGGACATCATGGCTAATATATTCGCGGCCAGGTGGTGGCTTACTGGCGGGCGCCAAAACACAAGACAAAGTCAACATGGGAGAACATATGATCATCGGTGGTCTGTTTGTTCAAATCCTGTTCTTCGGCTTCTTCATGATCGTCTCGGTGATTTTCCATCGCCGTATGCTTGCAACGCCCATGCACCACATGATGTCCACGCAGCTGCCGTGGAACCACTACATGAAGATTCTGTACACAGTCAGTCTTCTGATCATGGTCCGGTCCGTCTATCGTGTGGCCGAATACGTGCAAGGAAGCGACGGGTATCTTCAAAGCAAGGAGGTCTTCATCTATGTTTTTGATGCGGCACTAATGTTCGCATGCTGCATTATCCTTAATGTATCCCACCCGAGCAAGCTCTTGTCGCACAGTCAGGCGGGCCACAAAGTGGATTCCGATCTGGAGATGCTGAACCCGGAACGGTAATAGGCGGATGCTTTGACCAGATCTGAAAGGTGTATTCCTTGCCTGTGTCACAAGGACAGACCTTGTACAAGCATCTCAATGTGAGTTGGCGCCGCTTTCAGGATGATAATAAATAGATATTTAACGATACAGAAGCAGTTAGAATATATACATATATTATCCTAGGCCTATACAGGACGGCTATCATCCTGTTAATGCCTTGTGAACCATCAGTATAACCAACATGAGATTTGCCCATTTTGAAGGTGCAAGCAGACAAAACGTACAGGCTGCATGCTGCACATGTCATTTGCAGTCCTGTTCATCTTATTCGCAAACTCCAATACTCTTCAATATCCAATGCTACTTAGGGGCTGTCGACCTCTGAACGCGTCCGGTGGACTACGAGCAAGTCGACCTAGTCGTCTGTGCTTCCCAGATGCAAAACGGCGGCCATCCTCGCTGTCAATGGGTATTGTGTATGTGGAGCCGGCGTTCCGATAAACCCATCTACCTGCAACTTGAATTTTTATGGGTGTTCTTCTGCACCTTGATGCTACTGGACCAACAGAAGCCCCTGAAATTGAAGCAATATCATTGCTTACACTGTAGCATTCTCTCCGATGTCCAAGCGTAACGCTGCATTGTCGCCACCATGAATTCTGTAGGTATATATAACGTTATTGCCTTCGGAAGCAGAGACGTCGGCACCTGCAGAGACGAACAGTGTGCTGCCTGGAGCAGTGCAGCAGACACCTATCCCCTCCACGTTATTGCATTCGGCCTCAAGTGAACCGATATGACAATCGACCACTTTGAACAAGTCTATGAAGCATTCAGCGATAACTTCTCTTTATGTGCACCGAGAGTCAATTTATTTGAGGCCGAACACGAGGCGATCTCTTTTTAGAATGGTTGGACTCCTGTCCCCAGATATGTCAGTGGATTGAACAACACCTGCTGTTTTACAGCTGGTAATCGCTGTAAGTCTCATAAGGACTGTAGCCTCATAATCACTGTACACACTGTCAGAATCACAAGCATCGTAAGCATCATAATCATGATAAGCACTGTAAGCTTATATAAGGACTGTAAGCATTGTAATCATCATATGATTAGCCTATGTTTAAGCTTGACGCTTCCAGTTCAATAGCCCTGATTATCTTGAAGGTTGGTTTATTGGCTTTGCCGACTCAACAGTCTGTTGTGGCTTGCGCTGAGGACTACAACTAAAGAGTGTGCAAAAATGGCCCACTGCCCTGTAAAATGTTTGGCCACACGATGTTGACTGTCATATTTGTGCACTTTCTCCGTTTTGGAATTCTCCTGTTTGCAACAACATGGCATTTTAGGAAGATAACGACAAGCGTCGGGGCAGGTACGTGACAGATGTATCGCAGTTGAAGAGCTTAGAACGAGGCGGACCGCCCGAAGAAATAGGCCTACGCCTACATTTACGAGGATGATCGAGAAGACATTTGATTATGTGTCATTAATGCTTGCAGGAGGGGTACAAATCAAGAGTGTAGGGCAAATAACTCCAGGCAGGGGGGCACAAGTAGGGTCATTTTCATAGCTGGGGTACATGTATTACCTTGCGCAGGCACTGGAAAAGAGCAACCCCTTATCCTTCTCTGAGGGCTATTGGGCAGATTAGCCCTTCTTCAAGGTTCGAGATCCTCTCGCCCCAGAACTTCATACAATTTGCACCCCGAAGAGCAAAGGCTGCCGTCTCTTCATGGTCGGAGCTGCTCAGCTCATCCAAGCGTCTTTTCCAGAAGTGCCAGCGCGAGATGCTGAATCCGGTTGCTGGGTGAACACCATGGTCCTTTGCAAGGCTACCAATGGTCGAATCATCAAAATCATGATTTGTAAGACAAAGACTTTCAATCTTGTGGGCACATAGCTCAAACCACACCACGGCTGCTGGTACCATGTCTGCAATTGGTGTTTGGTGATTATGTGAGTCTGCAGCCGTTGAAGCCAATGGTCTCGGGGTCTCCAGCGCATCTCGTAAAATCCAAATAGCACACAAGCACAAGGCAGGATCCCGGGCGCCCCAGGAAGCGAGGCGAGCTATAAAAGCGCTAAGATTCCTGCGTTGGCGTACCGGTAGTTCCAGGGCCGTTTTCCAATGCTCGTATATCTGTTCGACGAAAAAGGGCAGATCACCCCAAATCTTGCCGTCAGATGTCAACGCTTCTTCCTCAATCCATTGGCTTGCCCCTTCTTCGTGTGACTCTATGACTGGGGCCACAATCCTGCGAGTCAGCGTACCCATTTCACGGGCGTGCAAAACTTCGGCTGCCAGCCGGTCTTGAGCGGGGTGTTTGGCGTCCGTGATTTTTGCACCCTGGATCAACTTATACCACAGTTCCCGCAAGTCATACCCATAGAAAGCTATCGGAAGACCGGACCTAGAGTATCGACTTGATATATTTTGGACAGATAGTCGTATTTGGTGCCAGAACCTGTTATCATTGTTGTAGCCTTCTTTCACAACTTCCGCATCGATTGCCGCGATGTGGTGAACACGGAGAGTTTCGCGGCTGTGAAGTGCTTCTTCTAAAGTGGGCAACATCGGTAAAGTTTTGTTCTTTTAGAGAGGCAAGGCGAAACTTGACATGAAGTGGGAAAGGAGTTGTTATAGACGTAAGGCGGGGGCGGGTGACTGTTTTATGTATGCATTGACTGGCGCCTGTGGTCACGGTCCCCCGGACGAGTAGAAAGATGAAAATTAGGCAGGGCATATTTTGCGCGTAATCAACCCTTGGTAATTCCATGAATAGTCTTTGCTTTAAGAGTCTTTCAGTACGGACAGACAATATTCGGAGACGTCGGGTTATCAATTCTTTACTATCTTCCAACACCAATCATCTGGGCTGATGAAGAACCTGAGTACCGAGTAATTTTCTGAAAATACGCCTAAGAGCATACACAAGGATACCTAACACCTGATTCATCCTGGCAGACGCAGTAGCCATTATTTGCGAGACACTATAGGTATTAGAAATCACCCCGTTAGTTTTTGACCCTTTTAATCTATCCACTAAATCTTACCGGTCTCCCAGCACTACAACGACAGGTATCCACAAAGCCTTCATCAACGTCGAATGAGCATAACTGAGTCGCAGGGGAACAAGAGTTGGTAGGTTGGTTAGTTATAACAGTTATGGAAATCTCTTCAAATATGAAAGGTGACGTACCCCCTCCCATGCTGTCTCTTTTGCAGTAGTGGCAGCCGATCCAAACTGGAAAATACACATGAAAAGCACTGCCTTAGTGGGTGCGCGCATGATATTCTGGAAGACTTGTATGATATAGCTAGCAGTATTAAACAATGGCACACACCGGAAACATAAAGGTGCGAGACGAAGGTTTGGGTTCTTATACTTAGTGAGGTGAATCCAGCAGACATAGTGTTGCTCTGGTTCATCAGACTCCCTAAGCAGAGAAAGACCCTTCAACCTGTGGTACCGACGGTTTATTACGGAGGCCTAATAGCTGACATTACACGGCCGAGGTGTCCAGTAAGCATTTGCTAGGTCTGTGTCAGCTCACCAGCTTCAACCTTCTCACACTGTATACCCATGCTTACACCGAGAAAGCCGTCAAAACCAGGCCTGCTGGTTAAGCAACAGAAACATAATTTTTGGCATCATGCCAGATTACACTAAGACCCGCGGCGCAGGTTGATACAGGTCAGCCCAGTTGAAAGTATTTAATTACAGAACTCGCTCTCATACCTTCTCGACTACTTTGGAACTTGGACCAAAGCGCCATCATCCTAATATATCGTTTCAAGTTCAATTGACCCTACTTTCTGAATATGCAATTTGCGGTGTCTATCTTCATCATGGCCCTGAGTCTATGTGGCTTCGTACTAGGCCAGAAAGGACCTTGTTACAACCAGTATCAAGCCTCAGTCCCATTTCGATAGATATACTGACCGTCACGCAAAGGGCTGACCCGGATCGTGGTCTTGGCAACTATTGTTACTGTAGTGGAGATGGTATGAAGCTCATCTACTGTCTAGCCTGGTGTGCAGTTACTGACTTGACACCCCCAGGAAGGTGCTATTTCGCCTCGTCGAATGATTGTGACCCTCCAACAAGTGATACTTTCCCTTGCCCTTAGGTAGAAAGGGGATCAGTGAGTCATCAAATACATCTCTCATTGCAATGGGACCTGTGCTAATCAATCTAGCAGATTTATGTCATTGCTCCCCCTCGGCAGATAACCAGGACCATTCGTATACAACAGCCTGATTGGGACCTAGCTTATTATTCAGTTTATGAAGGAGGAAAGGGCATGAATGAGCCTATAAGACATGGTTCTGTTGTTCGGCGAATGCTATCCGCCATGTGGGATATACTAGGTGCTCAGCAAAGGAATACAAATCGACTATTTTACCGTATCTGAAAGCAGTGGTCATGGTTATGCTCATCTCTCATCTCCTTTAAGGGCCTCAGCCTAGGATACTACCAGGGTAATCGAGCTGTCTCTGATCTTCAAATAGCTTGGCCTCTCCTATCTCCACAACAGCAGCTTCGATCATTATGTAAACAGTGAGAAAATGATAAGCTGAGGTCCATAGATAGGACTTAGATGAGTACCTTTAAATTGCCCGTGTGATGGTCAACGCACCTCCAGTACCGCTGCTTGCAAGCGTAGCGCACCTTGTTCTAGTCCGGACCCTTGTAGTTTGCCTGTTATTTTATCCAGTTCATTCTGGGACTCCTTCCCATGTGTCATTTCGAGTTTATGCTGATGTCAAAGCATGCGCCACTGTTACCTCTACTCCAGGCCTGCGTTTGTCCCAAATCAGGAATGGCCGGACGCGAGTTCGCTGTCTTGTGACTCTATACATGATTAAGAAGACTAACTACACAATACTAAAGGAGCCATAAGAACACTGAAACAAAATAGAATGAGACGGCCCGCGAGGGCGCTCATGCACCAGGTAAGTGCCCCAACCGCCCCCGCTCCCTCCCACTTCCCTCGCCGGCCGGGCAGTCATGCTGTGTCTCCGGCTTGTATTCTGGGAATTTGATGCAGACTCATATGTTACTTCGTGCTAAACAGGTGCACCATGCATGCTAAGGCGGGCATGATCTTGTAGAATTCTTTGGGAGATAATGCTGAATCGCTCATTTGACAAGATATAGTATCTCATTTGAGGCAGTAGGCACGGCTCGCTGCGGGGGACTACAATCTGTCAGTTCATTCGTCCATGTCTTATAGGGTTCACTATGTGTGAAAACGATGCGTCATGAACAATCAGTACGCCAATGGGTTTATCAGATAGTAATTGAGGTTTATAAGGCAGCAGGCGAGTGGATCTAGTGTTCCTAGGCGGGGTAGCTGAATTCCTCCGTAGTGTCCCTGGTGATGGCATTTACGTGGAATTTCAATTAGATTCTCTTATGGGACAGGGAGAGGAAAGCGCGCCTTGGCAAGGTGTTCTGGCCCGTAACTGAGCTATATGAATATCCCTGTGCGTTGAGGGTGATATTTATGGTCTATATAGCGCGATGTAACATAGAGCATGGTTGTTTGCACTTTGCCGCGCCATTCAGCCCCGCATCCATGCGCGAAGGGATCGGGGGTTCCATACAGGAAAGACCATATTAATTTGTACGAAGGAGTAGTTCAGTGCTGGTAACAGGCGTTCAAGATTAACACACCGCAAATTATTTAGGGGGGTATTTCTCGCATTAGTGCCGCTTTGGATATCTGATATGATGGCCCATACCATACCACTCAAACTTTACAGTCTAAGTCTAGGTAGAGTGCCCGTCTAAATTGCTTTATTCCTTCCCTGAATTGTAAGACATCGAGACTGTTTCTCTCAGAAGTTACGCAGAAGGTAAGCCTCTGTGTTAATGACAAGGCTTCTTGGCTGCGCCAAATGTGGAGTGAGCTTGGTGTGCTTGTATCGGAAGAAAGTCCGGGTCTAAGGTAAGGGACAGGTCCCTTCTCCTAGGGATACCCATTCGGAGTAATTTGTTAAGCGCTGGCATACAAATCGATATATTACTGAGGGGTCTCGGGTAGCGGCTTGCAACTGACTGCCCACTGTCCACTGACTCTCTTCTTCGAATTTATCCGATTGGCCCTCGCCTACGAACTAAGTCTACGAAGGGAGTAAGTAGTGCGAAGTAAGATTTGGGCTGCACCGCTGCACCCGATCAAGCCAATGTGTGATCCAGTCATGTAAAACCAAAGGCGCAGCACTTCTCTATCAAATACCAGGTAGACTTTAGGAGAATTTATTGCGTGCTACTATGGAAAGCTTTCTAGTGAAGTCTCAGAGCAGAATGTAAAAGGGACAATTAAATGAAGGGCTTTAGAAAACGCATGAGAGCATACTATTCCTTGCTCGACATGGTGGTCATTCCATTCGACCTTTTACCCCTAGGCGGCTACTTCCCCGTTATCTGAAATCCGAGAAGTCCTACCGAAAGCCGGTGACTGCGCCGCATCTTTCTGCTAATTGGTTTCCAACGCAATGGCATGGAAGGCAATTGGACTGTTCATATCAATCCTAGGTAGTCGGTAGTTGGGGTTATTATTTACCTGAGAGAACAGCATCCATAGGCTTATTCCATGTCCCTGCCCGGACCATTCAATCACTATATATGCCCTCCACCCGGTGTGACCATATTTTAGGAAACTGCTTGTGCAGCAGACTTCCACGAGATCGCCCCTACCGTACTACTGAGGTTCCATGAGCCTCTTACTTATTGAATATTACCTCATGGATCCATTTGAAAGTTCGAATGAGAATTTGCTCGGGGATGAACCGAATTATATTCACAGAAGGAGACTGCAAAACCGCCTCGCGCAACGCAGATATCGTGAGTCAATAAAATGACTTCCCAGGTTATTCCTAACCTGGTGTCAGGCGAAAAGGCCCGATCACAAAAACTAGCTATGCCTAGGTCCGGAGGAGATAGGGATGGAATATTAGCCGGCGGACAAAACAGAGGGAACCAATCTGGGCACGCATCGTCTTCAACAGAACGCGCAATACGTGAGGAAGAGCCCACTGGTCTGGTCAGTCAGACTATGGTCGATAGCCAGTTCACTTTTCATGGTGACGTACAGGCAACAACGCACCGTGGTAGCTCGCCCAAGGAAGCCTCGACGCGAAACCCTATCACTTCGTTACTCTGCGACCCAACGACACAAGATCCTTTCTGCGCTGAACAAAGTGAAGATGCATTTCTGTGGGTCAGTGCTATGCGCGGCCCTTTTGAACACATGCTTAACAGCCCTCGCAGGACACATGTTTCCCTATGCGTGGCACAGCATACCCATCAAAGCGCCCAGTGGATCAAACCGCTGCGGAGGATATTGTCCTTTTTAGACCTGAAATAGAAGGTTGTCCAAAACATAACACAAGCATTGGCGAGCGTGTAGGATCACCAATACCAGCGATGTTGGACACAGCTGACAATGCAAGATGCAGATGAATCTTGACGACTTCGAGTCAGCCGGCACTGTTATCCAAAGTCAAAGGCTGAAGCTCTGTAGTAAAGCAGAGGAGCTCGTCGGAAAATCAATATCATTGTATGAGTGTGGAGTTCTTCTAGGAGTCATTCCTTCAAACCCACGCCTTCGGTATCAGCTCGCGAGTGCACTTGAGATATTTCGCTTTCAATTGGCTACCGAGATGTCATCAAGAGATGGGAGTTCATCAAACACAGAATCAGCAACCTGAACCACATCACCATCTCTGTTTTTGGAAATGTTTGTTATGAAATGTACGTGCAGCAGATGACGTTAATACTTGCAAGATCAATGATCCGGCCCACCAAGCGCATGAAACTTTGGTTTCGATGTGTTAAATGCATATAGCCGTTGAATATAATTGCTGGGTGGACTGGATAGATAGCAGAGTATCTCTCACTGTATATCCCCATTCCTAGGGGATAGAGTCATTCCAAGTTTATTTAGCAAGCCGATTTTCTGGAGACTCGAAAGAATAGCGAGGTTAAGGCTACGTGACGACCAGGACAGCAAATGTCGATCCATGTATGTTAGCTTTGATCGGGAACGGTTACTTTGGTTTCGTTTCCATTATCTCGCTTACAGCCCACTGTGCAACTGTAATCATTGGCTTTCAAGTCAGGGCTACAGCTCAGCTTACTGCACAGAATATCCCTGTCTGACTGTTAAGAGAATGGGCATTACCCAGTAACCACTACAGATTTTGCACTACCCAATAAGCACTATGGCGTAAGCACCATGCAGTAAGCACTATGTAACAAACACCGTCCACTCCGGACACAACAAGCACTATGTGCACAGTAAGCAAACTGCGTGGAGAAAATGAGATCCAGTGTTGCACTGTAAAGACGGAGATGGTACAACCCTATACACCTGCTAATTACTCTACTCATCCTGTCAAGTGCACTATTCACTTTACTAGTCATGCATAAGGAGATACCCTAGGAGCAAGTCCCTAGGTTGCTCTGTGGTAATTATCCCTTAAACTAGCAGTAGCCGAGTGCTCGCTAAGAAGATTGCAGTAGATAATGTAAAAGGGGCTTCAAATTCGGCTGACGAAGTCATCCTAGTATTTGAGGTATAATAATGTCGAGGCTTCGACCTCACAACACACAGGAATCTGTCATTTTCAAGGTGTAAATGTGATTAAGATCCATCTACTCATTTTCTCTTGGATCATCAAGTTTATTGTTATTCACTATTTCTATATCACAACCCCACTTTTTCTTTGTTATTCCCTTTAACTGGCTCTATCCATATCATCTTATCATGTTGTTTCTGTTTCTTTTGATATGCCTTCTTGGCTTGGGCCAGGTGCAAGCCAAGGCTGTCTTTGCCCATTTCATGGTATGGTGATCATGAGGTTATTTCCATTCTACTGCCACCTCTAACTGCCGGGTCAGGTGGGCAACACGGCTTCTTTTGGTGTTGCTGACTGGATTAGAAATATGAATCTCGCCATGGAAGCTCATATTGACGCTTTTGCACTCAATATCGCAGCAGGATGGGTGGACAACGATGCGCAGATTGCTAATGCTTTTACTGCAGCCGACTCTTTGGGCTTCAAGTTGTTTTTCTCCTTTGACTACGCAGGAAACGGACCGTGGGCTGAGTCCGATGTTTATAACCTTATTCGAACATATGGGTCGAACACCGCCTACTATCATTATAATGGTGCCCCTTTTGTGTCAACTTTTGAAGGCACAGATAACGCAAATGACTGGATCACCATCAAAGCAGAGACGGGTTGCTTCTTCATGCCAGACTGGTCCTCCCGAGGCGCTGAAGTGGCGCTCAAGCTTGGAGGGGGTGTTGCAGACGGACTTTTCAGTGAGTACTGGTAGACAGTAGAAGGCCCTGAGGTGGCGTGCCATTGCAGGCCCAATCAAACTAACTCAATCCACTACTATCTCCTAGGCTGGGCGGCATGGGCGTGGGGGTCTTGGAATATGACCACCTACGTGGACGCATCGTATAACCAGACCCTGAACGGCAAGCCCTACATGATGCCGGTCTCCCCATGGTTTTTCACAAACCTGCCAGGGTATAAAAAGAACTGGTTGTGGCGCAGCGATGATCTATGGTATGATCGCTGGCAGCAGGTCTGGTATTTCCAGCCGGAGTTCGTGGAGATCATTTCGTGGAACGACTTTGGAGAATCTCACTACATCGGGCCACTAGATGACACCCAATACAGTGCCTTCAAGATTGGGAACGCACCATATAACTATGTCGAAAACATGCCACATGATGGCTGGCGCCAACTCCTTCCCTATGTGATTGACACCTATAGAAACGGGCGTGCAACGTTTGATACAGAAGTTCTTGTGACCTGGTATCGCCCGACATTGGCAAGTGCATGTGGTGATGGCGGAACGACAGCAAACACTGCAAGCCAACTCCAGATTGAATACCGACCAGTGGATATTGTGGACGATCGTATTTTCGTTTCTGCCTTGCTCAGTGAACCGGCCTACCTGACGATCAACTATGGCGTAGGTGAATACGGTGTCGACTGGGATTACACTCCAGAAGGTGGAGTGGGTATCTACCACGCAAGTATGGCCTTGAATGGACAAACCGGGTCCGCCACGATCCAGCTTCTGCGGGACTCTGGAGTTTTCATTTCGTATAACCCGTCGCAGGGTATCTCTACGACCTGCACAAACGACATTACCAATTGGAACGTCTGGGTAGGCTCTGCGACGTACACACTGACCAGCACCATTCCCCCTCCCCTCTCACTGAGCAAACAAGTCTGCGTACAAGGCTGGGGTGTAGGTAACTTTGAGGGACTCTGTGAGTTTACTTGTCGATATGGATATGTATGCTATGACTCTGTCTCCCTTTATCACTGCTCAATTTCGTGCTGACTTCTGCAACGCATTAAGTGTCCGGTTGGGGCATGTGTCTGTACGAATATGGGACGGCAGTTGACACTACCCAAAGCGACAGGAGTGGTGGGCTATCCAGCAAATGGTGATGCTAACTATGCGGGCCTCTGCAGCTTCGCCTGCAATTATGGCTACTGTCCCTCCAGTGCCTGCAGCACCACCAAAGTCCCCCCTTATATCCCCACAACATCGCCATTCAATCCGCCCGCCTGTACTGGGGGTCATGGTGATGGTGGTTTTGCTGGCCTTTGCAGCTTTGCTTGCAACTATGGATACTGCCCTATTCATACTTGTACTTGCACCTCCACCGGGGCATTAGTAGAGTCACCGCCCACTACTGATGTGGTTGGCTCTTCGAATATCGGCCCAGACAATGGATTATGCGCATGGGCGTGCAGCCACGGATACTGCCCCTCAGGTGCTTGCTCTAGTGGATCGACAGGGTCCTCGGGCAGTCTGGTGCCCACTGGGTGGTATGACTTTTGCTCCCCAACCCATATTCCACTCACGCGTGCAAAATGCTGATCTCCTTTAGGGTTTCGTTTGGGGATTCCTTTAGTGCTGGACCTGGAGCGGGATATTATCTCGACAATTTTCTCAGCGGTTGCCTCAGAACTAATAACTCATATCCCATGCAGCTCAATACAGCGCTGGAGGGACTAGTACCGAACGGTTAGTGCAAGTGTTACCGAACTGTGAAGATATCTATTGACGGCGAGCACCTAGATTTTAAGTTCGAATTTCTGGCGTGCTCTGGGTCCTTAACGGATGATACGAAAATGAGACAGCAACGTCGGACGTGGAGCAATTCTTCCAATTTCGGAACAATTACCATTGGTGGCAACGATGCTGGGTTTGCAAATGTTCTAATTCAGTGCATTCTCCGTAAGTAGTTTTGCGGCAGTAATGGTGGTGACAACTACCTAATCAGTCTGACTTGGGTTTGACTCGCAGAACCGCCTACCTATGGGAAGTCGGGGCATTGGTGGAGTGGCGAGACGTTTGATTGCGAAGGCGAACTCTCCAATTCACAGGCTATCATTGACGACGCAAATTATGTACAGGCTCTCGTCAGAGCATATACAAATATATTTGCCGGTCCGCCCCTTGACCAGCAATTCGACCTCTTTGTGGCGGGCTACAGTCGGTTCTTTGACACAAGCAATGAGGCAGACTGTGGGACCCTCGGCATGCTCTGGAACAAACCTACGATTACTTACAATTTACGGCAATCAATCAACTCCCTGGTCCTTCAGGTCAACGAAAAGATCCAGCAAGCAGTTGCAGCTACTAAACTTACTGAGAACCGGTCCATCACTTATGTGGACTGGGATTCACAGATGGATGGGCACCGCTTCTGCACCCCTGGTTACAGCAATGAACCTATTCAGAACAAATATGAAGCAGCTCATGAGTACTTCTTTGCGGCAATCGGCTCAGAAGATAATTATCCGGGCGAAGAGGACAAGTGGCCCCCGTCAAGTAGTACGCCCTATCCGCCAGAAAGTGGCACCTACTCATTCTCCGTCGACCCCAAAACTTGTGCAGACAATCTGGATAACCCGGGTAACATCTATGATCCCGACGAGCTTCTCAATATTTGGTGCACGTGGGCCATTGAGGCAGCCGCGAACGCGTCCTTTGCCGCTGCAATCGAAGCGTACTTTACTCCCCAGCCCGCCAGTTCAGCCGATGAGAGTATGACAGTGGCCTGGACAAATAACGAGCTGGTTGTGACCTCTTCAGGTTCTCAGGGGGTGACAGCAAAAATCTTTCATCCTAAGAGCCTGGGACATGGCCTCATTGCCAAAGCCCTCTTAGCCGCTATCAAGGAGAAGGAGTAGCTCTTTCGAGGTATACTATTGAGGCGTGTATCAGCAAGCAACTTAGCTAAAGGAATGCCGTGGCCTCGTGGCCCTAGAAAAAGAGTGGAATACGAATATACTCCATTTCACTTGACTATAGGCTAGGATTGTTTTGAATCCAATGTAGTAGGGAGGTAGAGGAAAAAGTGGCAGTTTCACCCTTGCTCATTTGAAAACTATCCTGGAGGTTTAGTGTATCTGTCAGCGTAAGCTGATCCCTAAGCAATAAATCAGCGCCGCGCGCGGTCTCAACCCCAAATGCATGGATTTATGTACCCTCCAGGGTAAACCCTGGCTAAGCCGCAGGTAAAATACATTGTCAGTGCGTCATTTGAGGGACAAACCAAAGTGGTGAAAGGATCTTGCGGTTGGTTTGATTGGAAAAAAGGAAAGGCACACTCCAGTTCCTACCACCTCTGTTTTCCACGGCAGCTGAGTGGGAGAGGGGTTGGGCTATTTAGCGCCGGAGGTCACCTGCATTTATATTCCGGTCGCTGCCAGTGACACTTGACAGTTGCATCCTTCCCCTGCCAATTTTCTGACTGTCATGGCACCGACTTCAAGATTCAAGCCTGGAACTCCTCGATTTATCGCCATCACCTCCATCTTCTTTGTGCTCACCCTAGGCATCCACTTCCACCTATTTTCTAAAAATGACACCGATAACAGCAGGCCCAATCTACCAGTCACCACAGAGCCGCCAGGCATTGGGTTAGACTTGACCGGATTCTACGGGTATTTCGTTCTGTCTCTCTGAGTGTAAATAATAGAGTATTGATCATAACTTCTCTCAGGACGGTCGCTGTAAGCTTTCCCAACGGGTCGATGATTAATATCGGAAGGGTAGAGGGGTCGTCCTCCTACGAGGAGGCCATCCGGCGGTTATCACTGGTGTCGTCCTCGCATCTCCAGTCTGCCCATCTCCCTTCCACATTACATAGAACGATAGAAATTAATCAAGCTGAATAGCCCACCATATGTCGAGATCCCAGGCAAGTTTCTGGATCTTCCTCGCGAGACACTTCGCTCGATTCGCAAATCAATTGGACTCCCAGCTTCAAGTGACGTCGGAGCACTGGTTGCTATGATTCAGCAGCTCCAAGTCCAAGCAGAAGATGTGCTCGGGGTGCCTCTCGCGACGGTTTCTTTCGTCCTCTCTACCCCTCATCTACCTGCTCTGTACGGGGAAGATATCCAGGATGCATTTGAATACCTCGGTCTCCCGTTTCCTAAAACAGGCTGGCGAGGCTCATGGGCATGGGTGAGGGACACTGGGGCAGCATTGGCCGGCTATGGCCGCTTTCTCTGCTCTGATTATCGGAATTACCAGGCGTGTAAATCAGAGATTGATCAGATGCCCATCGCCGAGGTCCTCTCCATCTTGTACACAGAGAAGGGACTTAAGATCCTCCAGACCGGCGTCAAGTCCGCTCACGCCGTGGCAGGCTCCTGGGACGACGAGGACCGTTGGACCTTGGGCTACGCCTCACGGAATGAGGAGGGCTATTGGGACCGGGTCGCCGTCAGACTAATGGACTGGAAACGAAACTGGCCTGGCTCTCTAACCCCTGACCTGGTCTTGCTTTTTGGTGAGAGCGCGGCACATGAAACCTTCCGCTCTGTTCTCGAGAATGTCTTTATCGAGGAATTTGGTAGTGTCCCGGAAATTCTAGGAGGGAGCGACGAGTATGTTGTGGCCCGGGGGTCTGCAGAGTTTGCCAGAGTGTCATTCTTTGGAGTACATCAGTGACGCCCCAGTCACTGTACTATAAGCTGATCCATCTGTTGGTATAACTCAAGGCAGGGGATACTTTACTAATATTTACCATATAATTTCTTGCAAAATGCTATCCTATGTGGGTTGTCGATGCGAGATATGGATCTCTTGCGTTATTAAGGTAACCATGAACAGGAGCGTCCGCCAGGGGCTTGGTCAAAGAGGATTATCCAATGTGATGAACCAACTGTATATTACATCTCAACCTCTCGTTCCTCTCGGTGCTTTGAGTCTGGTTGGATAATCAATTGTGATGAACTAGCTTGTTAATTTCTTTCCCAGCAAGCATGTTAGATATGCGATACAGCAAGGGCTAATTTAGAACAGAAAGATAAATAACTAGGCAGTCCATCATGAAAAGATTAGTTCGCTATCTAATAAGGCTGTTATATAGCATCTGCCATGCGCCCCTCCTTATCTGTGCCGTCCATGCTTTGTTTTCAATCCCTAGACTGCCCCGTAAGTAGAGCATCCTCAGATTGCAAATCCATCAGACAGGCTCCCTTTCCCAGCCCCAGCTGAGGCGCAGCAGTGACTGCTTGGCGCTGCAATGGGCATTATGTCAGCTGTAGCATGCCTCTCGACAGGCAACACAGGCGATTTGCTACATGTCATTAAAGATTGATATAGTATTCTTGCGACTGCTCCAAGGTATAATAACTGGAGCGGTGAGCAATTAGTTCTTGGTTCAATGGATTGATATATAAAATCAAATTTCGAATTTTTGAGTTCCATGATGAGAGTGTGCACATTCTGGGTCATGGGATGCTGGTGGAACACCAGTCATCATTTGAGGGCTCTACCAGCCCATTACAGCATTAGTGACGAGGCTTTTACAAGACTTAAATCATAAAAGATCTGCCTGTCAGCCACGTAAGGACTGCTAAGGGCTGGCAATACGTATAAATAGTATATAGTATATCACTAAGACAATAAGACGAATCGTTGTTCTCGTCAGGTCTGACAAGGAAAGGATGGTCTCTAATAAATCCTCCCGAGTCCTTTGGAGGCTTAGGACATTGCAGGTGGGCCGTTGGTTTCGCCCTTTGAGGCTATGTATCTTATCTCAATACCGCATATACAACATTAGACCAGCATAACATCCGCTTTGGTAGTCAAATAAGATGGCATAATATATTCAGCTAGGGGTCATCGGCACCAGTTAACTTTCGCCTATTTCCTTAAGTAAATGCGAAAGCATCACGCCTATGAGCTCTAAAGACTGGTTTCTCTTGTGATTGGGTCTGCGGCCTGGGCGGGGGCAATAGTGGGCAGTGCTAGACCGAGCGGGTGCCTAGGGCTGAAACAGACAGCAATGGGTGACCATGGATATTGGCCAAGGCTAATCTCTTAGCTGGCTGGCTTACAGTAAACTATAAGATCACGAGTACTATGCACACAAGCCGGGTTTTCGCAACAGCTAGTAGAAGGGGAATACAGCCATACGAGGTGTGTGGGAGAATAGGTTGACCGTCAATCGGATCGTTGGCTGGTGAAAAGCCTCGTGAGCTTCGGATTCGGCTATTTTATCCCGTTTGTAGCGCCATATGCAGCCACGGCTGACTCCGCCCCAGCTTCGCATTAGGTAGGCAATTATAAGTCGTGTGGCCCCTCTGATTAGCATCGTCTTCCACCACAGATATGTAGCGATTTGATGGCATATTGCAATTTTTACCTTCTTGTGCTGCTACTGCAGTCGCTCCCCGTGTCGGCACAATATGTCGTCTCCTCCACCGCCGCCTGGTCCTCCCAGATCATTGCCTTCTGGGGGGCGATCATCATAGCAGCGCATGTCGGCAAGGTCGCCAGTGCGGGAACGGCTCTATTCTCCAGTGTCCGTATGGCCCTTCGCATCCGGTCCATGACCAACGCGCTGGCCCGCGGCAATTGGTTTCTACACGCGGGTTGGGTCACCAACAAGGTCCGCACGGATGTTGCTGTGGTGTGCTGGCGCACCCCCGAGGATTTGCAGGGTTTGGTCCGCCGGGTGGCTATGCAGATAGAGAGCTTCGCCGCCGGCGGTGACTGGCAGGTTCTCGTGGTGGGCTGCCAGCTGAAAGAGCAACCCTCCCGTGAGAGCACGGTACATTGGATCAAATGTCCTCGGAGTGAGAGCCTCTGCGGCGCAAAGGTCAAAGAAACAAACGAGAATCTGTTTCCGCTGCAGGAAGCAGACCTTGCTTTTGCGCTGGACATGCTGGAGCAGTCGCCGCCAGCGACGACAGAGGAAATCGTGCGGGAGTTGGAGGCGAGGATGGATGTGCGCGCGTCGCGATGTACATATATTAAGGAGCAGCAACAAGAACTGCAGGTTACGGAGGCGACACTCTCGTGGGGTTGGATATTCACCTCCGTAGACCATAACCTCACGCCATTCTTGAAGCTGAGGAAGTGGACGAGTCCCTACGGCAGTGAGCGTGGGGCGCGAATGGCCTGCGCTACGCGAATGTATCTCCTTGTACATCTTCTTGTTGCCTGTGCTGTTGGACTCATGGCTGCCGCGACGGGCCGTGGTCTTGCAGTCTGGTTCATGACGGTGCGGCCCACCCTTGCGACAATGGGAGGCAAGAATGTCAATGGGAACGATATCTTGCAATCGCTGCTGTGCATGGACGAGGCTGTTTTTCAGTACGAGACGGCAGACGGGTCGCCTTTGTTGGCGGGCGACGTTCTAGCTTCTTCCCTCCCGTGGTGGGCTACTACATTAGCCTTTGCCATGCCTGCTCTGGAAATGGCCCTTATCATCGCAGGATGGCTGTACGGTGGGCTGAATGCGAAGAGACTGGCTCCCTCGGGGGTTGTTGGTCACGGAATGCTCTGGCTGTCCGTCATCGTGGGGCTTTCGCTGTGTATCCGTGCCCTCTTCACGCTGCGCAATCAGGGGAAAGGCCGTCTAGTAGGGATTTGGCATAAGCACGAGTTTGCGCAGTACACAATTGGCGCTGAGTCGCTGGAGATCTCCGCTTCCGATCTCGCCCGTATGGCAGGTGAGCCGTCTCCGATCGGTTTGCTAGTCCGTCTCCTTCGCGAGAACAACCCGGATAATATTCCCGTCATTGAAAGTTTCCTCCGCTTACCTATTTTGGCGGTGCTGGTGGAGTACCTTCTGGCCACGCGAGTCCTGCAATACCAATACCAGGGCGATGAGATTGTGGCGAGAGGAAGCAGAGCTATCTCCCCAAAGTCCGAGTCCCCATGGCGTCAATCCTACTGCTGTGTGGCTGTGACTATGGCTTGCGCATGTTTGTCCGCTGTTTACGCATACTACCCACTGCCAAAATGGGTGAAGCTGGTCACGGAGATGCTTCTTGCATTGAGTGCAGTCTGGTTCAACTCAATTGATCTGGTGGGTAGTTTCATGCATGAGAAGGAGACTTCTGTCTGCTTTATGGTAGCGACTCTGGTTGTGTCGTCCGTTTGGTATGTGGGATTGGATAATGTAGGTTGACGAGTGGTTAGGGTTAGTCTCCTCGTATTTCAGATCTGTGGTATCAAAATACATTCGATATTCCATGGCATCGTTCCAGGCATTTTCTAGACATATTTTTGTGACGATAACGACTAAATTTTGATACATCGACAACACCTTGGCCAGTGAATGGAGGGCAAGCCTTTCCAACTTAGGGACCAGAAGAGAGAAGATTGGTCGTGGCGAACATTTTTGAGTGAGCGTCCTCTTGACGGAAACTGTAGCTAAATGTAGTCCAGTTACTGATTCAGAGACAAATCCAAGATAATCTTTCCTCTAGCGTGTCCCTCATCCAGTCGCTTAAAGGCGTCCTCGAACTGCTCCAGCGGCCAAACACTGTCCACGACACCCCGACACTTGCCCTCCTCCACCAGCTTCGTGACCTTCTCCAGGTCTGCTCGATTCGCCGACACAATGAAGAAGAAATTTCGGGCATTCTTCCCCTTGCACTGCTCAGGCTGCACCTGGTCTGGAGGCTGGCAGATGCTGATCAGAGTCCCACCCTCCCTGACACACCACCACGCATCTTCCAACGACTTCTTGCCAACACAATCAACCACTAGATCAACCTGGTTCTCCGGCGTCTGCCCCCACTCTTTCAGGTCCGTCTCCCGGTAGTTGATCACTTCGTTTGCTCCGAATGACTTCACAGACTCGACATTCCGCGGCCCACACGTCCCAATCACCGTTGCACCCGCAAGCCGCGCCAACTGCACCACCCAGATCCCCACACCGCCAGACGCAGCCGTAACAAGCACCCTCTTCCCCTGCCATGCATCATCGCCCAGCTCTCCAATCCCAGACTGCACAAATAGCGCCTGTAGCGCCGTCTGCGCACTCAGCGGGATGGCGGTGCTCTGCACCCAGCTTAGGTTCTGCGGACGGCGCGCGAGATCAGCGCCAGATATAACGGCGTAATCGCGTGCGCAGCCGGGACGGAGATAGTTTGACCGTGCGTACACTTCTGTACCCGGCTGGAAGTCGGAAGATGGCGGTGCAGTTACTACCGTTCCCGCGACGTCGTAGCAGGGGATCTGCTCGCGTCCTTGAAGGTCAGGGAAAAACTTGGCCCAGTTGAGTTCGTTGGCGCACGGGCTCACGCAGTGCACGCGGATGAGATGCTCGTCTGTTCCTTCTGTGGCTGTTGGGACAGGGAGGTCGGGGGTGAGGACCAAACGGGGTTCCTCAATGGAGGGCTGGAGGAGGGCGCGCATTGTTTTGGGGAGGGCCATCTTGATACTAGTTGTGTTTTTTGATGCTATTTTTCGAGGTGCTGCTGTGGATCGTTTATGGTGGTCTGGCGAGAGGACTACGAGGATACTTATATAACCTCTGCGAGCATGTTATCAGCTGTCTCTATAACCGGATTGCCGATCAAATACGAGCTGAGATAATACCAAGCCTGCCAAGCAGTCAATGACTCACGAACAATTAATTCATACAGAAGAGAGAGCGTAAGTGGAGTGACGTTGAGATCTCGTGTAGGCCCAGCCGGGTATTTGGGTGGTTCCCTGGATTCCCGGATACCCGATCTCCCGCAATAGGATAATGGCCTGTCAGCACTTCGGACGAAACGTATTTACAACGTCCGACACCGAACTTTTGCACAGATAATTCTGGTTCAGTCTAGATCCAAGTCAATACTGGGCTCCAATAGCGCGCTTTTTTTTTTACATGTCCTATGGTTTGTTTTGGGTCTCGTACTTGGGGCTACAACTATCTGATCACTAATCAGGGCGAACAAAAAGGTATAGCTTGCAACGCTGTTTGGATGTGAATAAGCCCTTCGCTAACCACTTTTGAGCAGTTTCATATACAGCACTCAGCCACCCCCAGATCATGAGACAGGGCATCGCGAATAGTCGCCTCATGATAGTCAATGTCAAACAAATCGCAAAAGTCCAAAGACTCAACAGCTATGTCCGGTGCAAAGACAGACGCAGGAATGTCGGTCATTACTTCAGGCACACCTGTTATGGCATGCTGTGGTCCTTGCGACGCGGACGGAGAGGGCAGTGGCCGGTCCAGTGATAATAACTCCCGCGCAATCACGCTGATTTCCTGGTACGTCCGTTTGCCAAGTGCCCAGTGTTCACCCATGGCCTTGAGAGTCCCCATGGTCACTCTGATCCGCTCTCGATTGAGTCGCAAGTCCTGTCCCTTCAAGACATAGCGGCAGGCGGAGAGGTGGGTGACGGCCACAACGGCAATCATGCAGATAATGAACGGAGTGTGACTGACCATGTTTGTTGGGAGGGTCAGCAGGGATTCGAACTGCTCGATTGAGTGCAGAACTCTCCTGGTGTGCAAATCACTTTCAGGGGAGTTACTTTGGAGGAGAGTCTCTGGTGGCGCCTGCGGGCAACATTTTGACACACCCTCGATGGCGCTATACGCTAGTGTTGACAGTTGCCGGTGAAGGTCGACAATCCATCTACGCATGATTAGTAAGACTCTCAAAGAAATGAAGATGGACCCACGTATGAATAATGGCATGTGCCTTGAACAGAATCTCATCCAGGGAGCCGTTGGGTCTAAAGACAGTCCTCTTTGACGCTGGCAAAAGTGACGTCCATGAGACGTGGATCGCATCAATGTTAGCACAGACAGTGGTGATGTTCTTCATGTCAAGGTCTTTTCTTGCGGCAAGTGCCAAGTCCAAACTTCGAGTCAAGCCTACCATCTCAGCCAACGAAGAGAACTCGCGTTCATCACCAGCAAACTCTCGCATATCGTACTCTTCCAGAGTTCGCGGGTTTGGAATATTCTATGATCTCAGTCACAATAACGTACTCGAAGGAGGACCGCCTACCCCAGACTCATACTCGTCCTCCTCGCAGGGCAAATGAACATCCATATGGATCCCATTCGTCCGGAAGGGATAACTGTGCGTACTTCCAGCGATATGCGCGTCCGTAATATAGATTTGCCACCAAGTCCGTCGCCAGCTTTCCTCGAGGATCGGATCGTTCCTCCCGTGCTCGGTGGCAAAGTCACTCCAATTCATTCCAAGGCCAAGCGCCATCCGAATAGCTTCCTCAAGCAGGTCTAGGCCTTTTCTCGTTTCGTCACACCAATAGACTGCAATGGAGTAGAGGAGCACGGCCTGGACTGCGAACGGTGAGACTACATGGTTGGTACTCCGAACGACAGCCAATTCCGCCTCAACATGATTTTTCAACTGCGATGACGGGATTAATGCGTTATGCAGAGAGCCAATGTACTTCATCACCGCATAAAGTGGCTGTATTGCCTGGCGGTCGCTGACGGCATAACGCTGGATTGCAAATCGAGGTACTGCGCATGGATGCGCACTATGAAAGTAACGATAATACAATGAGAGGAGCTGGTCGTCCACAGGGTCGCTCGGATCAGCTGATTTGGTAGTCAAAGTGACGCCTGAATTCATTTCCCTGGTCACTGTTTGTGATAGGATTGGCAGTATCGATGTAAACGATCCGTAATCTAATTTCGTCCCGTTCATTGGCGAAGTCAGTGTGCTCAAGACCCGGCGACGACCTCCCCGTCGCGACTTGACATACACACATTCTTTGTCCTCTTCGAGGCACCGAGTGCACCGTGGTAGAGCCGCGTCGCATCGTACATGTTTGGCGCGACAGGCCGTGCAAGCGCGGGATGAGCGATGTTTGGATGTACCCAGGTCTGGCATCTAGATAGATAAGGGGCAACAACAGATTTGATGCAGAACTGGATATATTTGGTTTATAGAAGGGTTTTATGCTGGAGATGGAAAAAGTCACGAATATCAAGCAGTGTCTCAGCGCCGGAGTACCCCGCTAAAATACTCTATTTTAAGACCGGTAACCTTGATTTTATGGCCGGGTGTGATTGGTTCATGACGCAGTAAGCAGACCATATTCCGTTCTGGGCAACTCAATAATCACGTTGTTTATGCACTCTTATCAAAATGGAGTCTCAAACCAGGTGTTTACTTTTGCTCTCCTCAATGTCTGTTTGCAGATTGTGCAATATTGAAATTCTAGAATTCTCCTTCTGGGCAGAGGAGATCTACTCTCCGGCAGTTCAGATTTATGCTAATCTCCTGATCAATATATATATACAACCATCCCAAAACCTCGGCTTGTGCATACTTCCCTCCAATACCAAGCAGATAATTGGTGACTTGCGGCGGGATAACAGTCAATTAGTAGTCCCCCCCTTTTTTTTTCTTTTGGATCTCAATATATTCAAATTGCTGCAAAATCTATGTCCATGTGCATGTGCATCTGGGTAAATGAGTATGAGAGTGGCTCTTCAGATTTAAAAGCTGCAGAGTTCCAACAGCCAATCAAATAGCTCAATTGGTAGCATCATTGGTCTAGTGGTAGAATTCGTCGTTGCCATCGACGAGGCCCGTGTTCGATTCACGGATGATGCACTACTTTTTATCATTTTTATATTCTTATCTACAGTGCGTGTCTGTCTCTCTGTACTTCTTTTTCCTTCTTTAACTGGCATCACTCCATACCCTGTGACATTTTCACAGCGTGTGAACTTCCTTCCACCTCTCGATATAATCGAGAAGACCGCTTTGATAGAAGCCTGAAACGTTTGGTACTATAAAACAGGGATGACGCGCCCAGGAGAAAGGTGGTTTGATCAGAAATAGCAGTATTGCGAGTCTCGCATCACCTGAATGGACCGCACATAAAGGGCTAGCTTTAAGAACACACTGTACCCTTTCATTACCTATGACCGAATCCTGATTGCAAACCCTCATAGACAATCGAGCTAAACCTACGAGTGAATGTTGCATTACAGGTATGACTTGTGTTTAGCAATATGCAGAGTGGATAGAGAGCTGCATAATGGGCCAAACCCGGGTTTGCGTTGCACAGTGAGACATTAACTTCGATGCTCTGCCAATGAAGAGCAACGACCCTCAAGACTACAGCTGCTTTCAGCTCAATGGCCTAACCTCAGGAAAGCTCCAGCCTGGTCTAGTCAACCCTTGAGGTGAAGCAGGTGCGGCACCCAAGTCTTACCAGAAGGGTCAATTACGCGAAGACCTCGACCTCTTTCACTCAGTTGCGTAGACCATGATTCGCGGACAGCTTCACTGACCGGAAACAGAATAGAGGATACTGTGAGTGTGTCCATGAAGAGATACTGTCCAGTTAAATCACGATGTAGTCCTGATCCATGATGCCCTCTGGGGCTCATGCAACGTTAGAGGGAATAGAAATGTCATCGACGTCTGCACTGAACGATGAGATCGAGGACCAGAGGCCTCTGATAGGATATTTCCATGAGGTCTCGATCTCTAATCTTCAACATCACTTCCGTTTTCGACAGGAGTGTCTGGAATTATCTCGTAATGCAGTCGGCCTTGTCCGGATTTAAGCCTGCCATGATCTTCTACACTTCCGAGTGCAACCCTAAGGACACCTTCAACTGGTACTACAGCTCATATGTATCATTATGGTGGTAATTGACTCTACCATTGCCACAGTGCTCTTCTGAAAGCGTCAAGCGCTTCTATCATTGCCACATTGAGCCAGTAACCTCATCCTGAGTGCTGACTTCATAGACTGTGATCATAGGAGATGGAGTCTCCTTCGTCGTTGTCGATAACTAATGCACTGACTGGGGACTGGGAGTCCATTGCATCAATGATGCGTTCGAGATCTTTCAAGCCCCGAGGCATCCCTATCCAAGTAGGAAGAAGCAAAGCTATAAGTACGAGGTAAAGCTCGTTGAAATGAGGCTGGTATGATCTGCCATCAAAGACATATCTACAAATCACTATAACAAGGATTCCATTCTTCCATTATCGAAACTTTAATCAAAATGCCTGCCCTTATCAGCCGTCAAATCTCCACCACGGAACCTATCAACTCCGTTAAGAACGGCACCAAGGTGCCGTCCACCAGTTCCTGTGGCCTTCTCGTGAACGCAGCCCGCAAGGGTAACGTCGATATCATCAGATTCCTAATCTATCTCGGTGCCGACGTCAATGAATACTACGACGGTGTCACCCCGCTCCTCGCGGCAGCCATAGCCGGCCAGGAAGCCGCCATGTTCGAGCTCCTTCGGAATGGCGCGAGCCCCACAGACCGTGATAAGGAAGGCTGCACCATCTTCAAGCTCCTCCTTGACAACGGTCACGACGACATCGCGGAGATGCTGATTAAGGAGTACCCCGACCTCACCGTGACGGACCCGCGTCTGCCCAAAGGTGAAAAATGGCTCCGGGAGCAGTTCAAGGAGATCTCGGACAATGTCAAAGACCCGAAGAGCAAGCCTAGCGAGGAGGTCCTGGAGTATCTCATTTCAGGTCAGCTCCCTCGTGAGGAGGGCCGTTCCGTCTCGGACGTCTACTGGGAGCATATCTTGCTGCGTTATATCGGGGATGTTCCGCTGGATATCAAGCGGAACTACTCCCCCTCCCTGCGTCTGTCGCTGATGGGCACTTTCGACAGATTCTTCCTTGGACATGAGGGGATCAAGGAGTCGGCTAGGCTGCTTAATAGCAAGTTGCCTACTACTGCTTACACCATCGAGGGCACCGTGGTGGATGGAGAGGGGGGATGGGTGACGGAGCGTTGGAGCTACCATGATGCCTATGGCATCGACGTGAGAGATGGTATAGATTCGTTCTTGATCGATAGTGAGAAGGGAAAGATCATGGTGAAGATGATTAACTATAACGTTGGTAAGAAGACAAAGTGTTGGTAAGTCCTGGCTGACATGTGTCTTCTGTCCGATTGCGTGAAAAACCAAGAAAAGTATCCTTTCGTTTTCGAACTTTTAGTTTAGTGTTACCTCAGTACTAATGAGTTGAATTTGTTATAAAAATATGAATTAAATTGGTTGTGGCTTCCTCACTGCAGTCTTGTCGGTTATCCAGCTGAATATGGATAGAGTTACCACGGAATCAGAGTTATAAAGGCTGCATAAAGGCTGCTTGACAGAGCAATGGTCCATTCTCTCTCTCTATTTAAGCTCAAGAAATCTAACCTAGAGAAGAAAGTCATGTTGACTTCACAAAATCTATCAACGAAGAAATATCGTCACCACCATGACCAGCCACCACTGCCTTCTCCATGAATTCCTTCATCGGCCGAATAAAATCCGCAGAGACTTGCTGTGCCGCACTGGCGTCGATAATATTCTGAATAGCAACCAATTGCATACCGAGATTTGATCCTTCGCTGGCGTAATTTCCCTCGTCAATCTGCTTCGCCATCCCCTTAGTGTATTCGGTCATTGCCCCCAGCCAGGGAACCAGGAGGTCCACGAACTTGACCGCGGGCGTACTTGACCTCACGAGCGCGGTTGCATGCAGGAAGCCCGAGAAGAGACCGTACATGCCACTGAGCAGAGCCAGGTCATGCAGAGACGCGGAGCCCGCATCCTCGCCTAGGAATATGCACTTGGCTAGAACCGACAGATCGGCCTCGGCGGTCTTGAATGCATCCGGTGAACCGCTGTACAGGACAAGGGCATGAGGCGAACCGATCATGGACGGGGTGGCCATGATTCCGCCGTGGACATATTGAGCGCCGTGACTGACGATCAGGTCTGACAGTTTCCGAGCTTGGTCGGGTGTTCCGTTTGTGAGGTTGATGATTGTCTTGCCGCGGAGGTGCTCAAGAGCGCTGTTGAGGGTTGCTTGAACAGCGGCGTTATCGAGGAGACAGATGACGATCAGATCGCTTGCGTTGATGCCATCCAATGCCGTGTGGGAAAGAGTTGCACCCTTCTCGAGCAAAGGGCTTGCTTTTTCTGGAGATCGATTCCATACGGCGACTTTGTACTTCTCTTCGAGGAACCGAGAGGCTAGGGCTGTGCCCATGGCTCCGAGACCGAAAATGCTAACGGATGACATTGTGACTAGGACTTGAGGAGAAAGATAGATCTGTGTGTTGATTGATGCATGTATTCAGCGAATGTCCACTGGATTTATATACCACCTCCCTTCCATGTCGTTCCTTCTTGATATCTGTATGCTTGGCAGCCAAGGGTTGCTTTGAAATCACTGTGGGGATATCTCGTATTTGACAAATCAACCATAGATTGCCAAGAGAATTGACTCATTTCGTAGTATTTGCATGTGTAACCAATATAGAGATGTTCAGGACAGAAGTTGGAGGTATGACTTTGCAGTAGGACGTGAGGAAATATCACCGAGATGCCCGAATCCGGACCAATATAGTGGCGCACAGGATACATCCCGAACAGACGGAGGCTAAAAAGCCATCTAATATCCCAAGTGTAGATTACGGAGTTGGATTTTTATTAAATTCCAAATACCTCTCTCAGTAACAGAAAAAGTTTATGCGAAGTATACCAGGTTCAAATTAGACAAGGACGATATGCTGGTTGGTCTTGGCGCGTACTGCTGAGTCAAATGTTGGATTAAGTACAGACCAATAATGAACTTCAAATGACTTTTGTGCATCTTTCATCCTTCTACGGCAGCCGAGAAAGACACAGGGAGCAACTGTACCGGTCTCAATGAGCAAAAACAATGGTCTGGCCGTCAGGTTTTGCCTGTCCGGCGCTGTAGCTGACGCCGTCCACTTTGAGTCCGTATTCATTGACAAGAGTGATAGTGTCGCCATGAGTGGAAAGATGACAAT